GTGACAGGGAGGACCTGAGGCCCCAGTTCAGGGAGGACAAGGAAGCAGCCAGCCTCTGCCCTTCCCACAGTCTGTCCCTCTGCCTAGGACAGCTTCCCTGGAACCCCATGCCCCCTCAGGCCCCAGGGCCACCTGCCTGTCTCTGACCACTGACCACCGTCGCCTTAGCTTACCTGCCTGGCCTTCGCACACTGCAATAGCTTTTTCTCCCATTCCCTGGCCAGACCCGAGCTGCTGCAACACCCAGGCACACTGCTCCCCACGGAGCCTGGCACATAGTAGGGCTCTCGAGAGGGGTTTGTTTCATGAGAGACAGTCTTGGAGCCTGCAGATCATAACCTAAAGGTCTTCCATCCTGGTAAAATACCCATCAGAGATGAGGACATGGAAGGCGGAAAGGCACCCGTGTCCTGGGTGGGAGCTACCAGCATTTTTCCAATTACAAATTACCTCCTCCCTGAGGACATTTTAGTAAGAAGATTGTGGATACAGAGTTGGGAGAAAGATGGTGAGTAGAAAGTTGTTAAAATCAGTTCTCTCTGGATAACAGTATTTGTGCTTTCCCACAATCTCAAATATTTCCACCTTAAAAAAATGAATTGCCAGGCTGGTAGTATGGCTCAAGTGATAGAGTGCCTGCCTAGCAAATGTGAGGCCCTGAGTTCAAATCCCAGTGCTGACAAGTATAAAATAAATAAATAAATAAATAAATGAATTGCCTTCACCTCTGACCTGCCCACCACTGGGCATCCCTGGGGAATCCTCCAAGCAGCTGTTGCAATTCTGTATTCACACACCAGGTGGCAGTCCAAGACCAGCACATCCTCCAGTTCTCGGCCTCCCTGGCTTTCCCCATGGGTTTTCTGGGTCCCTGGTGTAGAACAAGAGGCCCCCACACAGGAGTGCATGCTGGGGAGATGACCACGGAGGAGCAGCCCACTGGAACCCTCCCACTAATGCCCAGAAGTGGGTATTGCCATCCTCGCGTGAGGATTGGACTGGAAAAGGGACTTGGCCACTGGTACACAGCCTAGCATGGGTAGAGCCTGCATGTCCCCACTCACTGTCATTTCACAAATAGGTGGGGGGTCACTTGGATTTATCTGAAGTACCTAAGGTGAACTTCCAAAGACAAAGACATGGCACACAGCAAGCCAGGGTGGGATGTGGACAGAGCACTTGTGGAGGTCTGGGCCTCTTAGGCCATGTGTGAGGCCTCCTAGGAGCCAGGCTTCAGAAACAGCATCGATTGGCAGAGCAAGTAAGGTATGGGCCCAGAGTGGTTTGGAAGTCCCAGCTTCCCCACTGTCCCCACCTGGAACCCACCTTAGCAGGAGGTATGGCAGGGCCTGCCCAACACCAGCCAGGCAGACAGCAGGAGGAACAGGAGGATGAGGGCTGAAGCCAGGGTCACAGAGGGTACCAGGTCTGAGTCCTCGTGGCCAGGGATGGCATCACCAAGGGCATCTCCAGGAGCTTCAGGGGCCCCGGACAGCTGGGTCCCAGAGACCTTCTCTTCTGGCGGCCCTGGGCGGCCCATCTGTGGGAAGGAGGGGTCAAGGGGCAGGACCTCCCCTGGATAGGCCCCACCTGCCATCTTCTACCTGCCCTCTGTCCCTTTCCCTTGGAAGCCCTGCCGGAAACATCGACCTAAGCAGGGTCCACAAGGTGCCTCACTGTGACCCCAGACAGTGACTCTGGGCCTCAGTTTTCCCCTCTGCAAAGCGGGGTGAGGAAGGCCCCTGGTGGGGGGTGCACTGGATTCATTCCCCATCTCCTTACCTTCCCTTGACATGCCAGGTCTGGGAAGTCAGGTTCAGCCCCACTGCCCCCTCAGAGACCTTGGCCCGGGTGCCGCGGCCCCGGAATGCTACTTTGCCAGTTTCCCGGGCACTGGGAGGCTGTCAGGCTGGTCTGGAGGGATCTTTGTTAAGCCCTGGAAGGAGCTGCACCCACGCTGCTGGCCACGCCCTCTGCCTGACGGCGTCGGTCGGTCGGTCGTGAGGTGATCAGTGAGGTGCATCCATCTTACAGATGAGAGAATGAAGCTCAGTGAGCAAGAAGACTCCTGAGAAGCCCCAGGAGCTGGCAGAGGCAGTTGTGACAGCCCAAAACCAGACACATGGCAGGTGACTTCCCTGCACTGGGCCATAGGCCTCTCCTCTAAGCAGGGATAGAGTTCAAAGTGGGTCATCTGTTAAGGACCAGTGCCCTGGCCTAACCAAGAAAGGAGGTAGTCCTGGAGTCAAGGGTAGTCTCTGGTCCCCAGAGGGCCAGACTCCCAGACCTCTCCCTCTACTCCAGGTGTGCTGAGTATGCCCTCTTCCTCTCAAATCCTGGGTTCTGTAGTTACCTTCCAGCCATGGGGCTCCCATGTTCTGGGAGAGGACCGCCCCTCTGCTGCCACACTTCCCAGGACAGGTACTGGCAGAGTAGCCCAGATGAGCCTTTCCTCTACAGAAACACCTCCTTGGGAAGAGGCTGGAGCTAGGCTTCAAGAAATGAGGAACCCAGCCAGGAGCTACGCCTCCACACTGGCTGCGGGTGTGTCCAGGCAGAGAGGAGCAGGCTCTCTCCCAGACCAGCCTTCCTTCCACTACTGCTAAACAGAGTTCCCACATTGGGGAGCAGGCACTCAGGAAGGAGAGGGGGCTCTGAAGTCAAGTCAACAAGAGGCTTCCAGACAAGATGAGATTAGAAGCCAGCCCTAGGCAAAGAGTTCACGAAACCCTATCTCAAAAATACCCAACACAAAAAAGGGGTGGCGGAGCAGTTCAAGCAGTAGAGTGCCTGCCTAGCAAGTGTGAGGCCCTGAGTTCAAACCAGAGTACCTCAACAAACAAGAGGCTTCCAGACCCTCTGGTGACCAGTGCTGTGTCAGGCACAGCGTGAGCAGGGGGGAAGAAACCCCCCCAGACCTCCTCAGTGGCCTGGTCCCTAAGCACCCAACTGGCACAGACCCAGGCAAGAGAATGTGGCAAGCGCACCAGCAAGAGAGTTGAAACAGGTGTTGAAGACCACCAAAATGATCCTTGCAGAAGGATATTATCCTTTAAGGACAAAGATGATCCTCACATTGTTAACTTTAAAAGTGGAATGTCTGAAACATCTTGCCTGCTACAGAAGGTTCGTTAGCAAGTTCAAGTACTCAGCAGAACCTCACAGCGCCCTTTAAACAGAGCTGTGAACCACGGCTTGGCACTGGCTTTGTTTTAGCCACAAACAAGGCACAACCGGATCGTCCATCAGAAGGTGGGAGAACCACCTTTGGGATGTGTATACAGTGTGGATGTTACACGTCAGAAACAGAGAACCGGCTTGAAAACCACAAACTCGCCACATGAAAGAGGCCAGACAAGACAGGTTCTTGAGATGTGGTTCCGTCCCTCAGAAACCCAGCAGAGATGGATCTAATCTGCAGTCACAGAAAACAGCAGTGGTTTCCTGGGAGGAAGAGGGGTCCTGACTTCAGAGAGGCCCAAAGAGACCTTACAGGGTGATGGAAATTTCTACATCTTGTTCTGGGTCGGACCATTATCAAACGATACACTTAAAATGAGCGCTTTTCTGCTGCCTGTAAATTATACGCTAATAAAGTTGATTTTTAAAGAAAGAGCCAGAGAGGATGATTCCATTTATATGAGGTTCAAGAGCAGGAAATGGAATCCAAAACAGAGAAATCAGAGTCCTGAGGCTTTGGGGGAGTGAAGACTGGGAGAGGAAGTCTAGGACTTTGCAAGTGATCAGACTTGTGTTTCCTGGCCTGGACAGTTATTATAGGGGTGCACACAAAGGTCCATTCATTGAGCTGTGCATTTAAGATGTGTCCTATCCCTACTTTAAAAAGTAGTTGTGAGAACATGGTCACTAAGGAAGTCACCCATTATTGAGGGAGCCTGAGTCCAAAGTCTATGTTCCTGGCGACAAGATGTTTAAACGCAAGGGGAAGCAGAGACAACTGTGTAACAAGAGGCTGAGAAACAGGAAGGGAAGAGATTGACCAGTGTGCCCACAGGGGGGGGACTCTGGAAGAGATGATTTTCTTCCTCCTTGTTCCACTGTAGTTGTGCTTCTATTATGATAAAGGGGAACTGAAACTTTTAAAAAGTTTTACTATTTTAGCAGGTAAGATTTGGAAATAACCCAGACGTTTGACAACAAAGGGTCGGCTTGAAATGTGAATGGTGCACCCACCCTGCAGAACAGGAAGTGAGTCAGCCATCTCGCCGAAAAGTCCCAGGAGAGAGCTAGACAGCCTAATTGTGACTTTCATATATGTGTATAAGTGGGTTCCCAGGAAAATTTCAGTTTCGGTTTTTCTTCTTTTCAAATTTCATACCACTTGTGTGATTTTCAACAAGCCCAAGTTATTTCAACAATCAGGAAATCCTGAGGGGGAGGAGGCCTAGCGCTGTAGCTAAGCAGCAGAGCCCAAGCCCAGTGTGCCCAGTGTGCCCAGTGTGCTGGAGGCCCTGGGTTCCATCGCCAGCACTGGGGTGCGGGGACTGTGGTGGTGGGGTTGGGGTGGGGTTGGGTGTCACTGGGAAAATACAGATCTCGCATGCTGGAGTCGTCCATAACTGCCTCTGCTCAGCCCTCCTCCCCCTGCCTTTACCCCACACTCCAGCTGGCTGCCCTGGAAGTTCAACCTGATTCCCCTGGTCGGGGGAGCTAGGGACAGAGGTGACACCTGGAGGCGATGTGACTGGAGGGAGCGGAGACTAAGGAGGAGAGACACGAGCGTTCGCTGTGTGACCTTGGCGAGCGGCTTCGCCTCTCTGAGCTTCAGTCTCGGTGGACCGCAAGGGCGGGGTGGGGCGCGGATGGCGCTCGGCGGGGCTGGCTCAGGACACCGGGAGCTCTAGGCCCCGCCCGCCGCCTGCCCTGGCCTCGGAAGCGGGTCCCCCCCGCAACCCCGCAGAGCCCGTGGTTCGGGGCGCACACGGCGGCCGCGCCCCGGGGCCCGCCCGGTCCGCATCCAGCATCCGCGCGGCGTACGGCCGCCCCATTGGCCCGCGCGGCTCTGCAGGGCCGCCCCGCAGCCAATCGCGGCCGAGGGGCGGAGCCTCCCCGGTTTGGCCGCGCCCTGCGGACCTGAGCTGATGCTCCGCTGCGGTGTCCGAGTCGCACCCGGCTGTCCTCGCACCCACCATGCAGGAGCCCCTACTGGGAGCCGAGGGCCTGGACTATGACACCTTCCCCGAGGCGCCCGCGTCGCCGGAAGACAGAGCGCGGGCTGGGTGAGAGTCCCCGGGGGTGGGGGTGGGGGTGGGGGCTGGGGGCTGGGGATGGCCGGGTCCGCTCCAGGGGCTGCTGGCTCGCGCCCTGGGCCTCTTCCGACCTTCGGTGAGTAGCCCAAGGGCCATCTGGGTCCCTCCTACCGCATATGCGTTAGTCCTACTTGAGCTGGCCCCCTTAGGGAAGGGACCACCCAAGGGAGTACCAGGCTCCACCTGTCACAGACATGAAGAAGGAGAGGGTGAGGGGACAGCAAGCTTCCAGCAGCCGAGCTGGGGATAGAACCCGCACCTCCCTTTTGGAGAAAAGGGCCATGGTCGTTGGCTAAGCCCTGGGAATTTCCCAGGGCAGTGGCACTCAAGCCTGGGGGAGGTGCTGATCTGAGGGGCGCCAGACCCACGGCTCCCGCACGTTGTCTGCTGACCTGGGTGATGCTGCTGGGTTCAAGAAAGTCAGCAGTCCAGTGATGCAGACTTACAGGTGGAGAAACTGACCCTGATCCTTTTGTCCATCCCCACCCCTCACCAGGATCCTGCAAAACAGAAGGGTGTTCCTAGCCACCTTTGCCGCCGTGCTGGGAAATTTCAGTTTTGGGTACGCCCTGGTCTACACATCCCCTGTGATTCCAGCCCTTGAGCACTCCTCCAACCCAGCTCTACACCTAACCAAAACCCAGGCGTCCTGGTTTGGGGTAAGGCCCATGCTCTGAGCTGGGAGGGATGGGGTAGGGGAAGCATGAACTACCGAGCTCATACCCCCAAATACTCAGCTTTGGGACCCCCTCAGGGCCCTGGACTGCCATCTCCATCACCCGCTTCTGGCTGCTGGCTGGTGGGGTGAGGCCAGATGAATGCAATGCGTTGACCAGGTGGAAGCCATGGAGAAGACATGGGGAGGGAACAGGCAGGGAGGTGACCTAAGGTCACCAAACCCTACACCTGCAGCCAGGCTGTCACAGCAGAACCAACACCCTCCTCGGTGCACGGGGCAGTGGCGCTTGGGAGAGGCACCAGCTGAAGAAGGACAGCATGTAGGCTAATGGAGGAGAATTGCCCAGGAGTCCCAGGATTCTAGAACTTAACCTCAGTAGCCTCGGGTCTAGAGTTACATTTAGTAGCTCAGATGAAAACTCCCAAGTTTGACTGAACTCTTAGAATGTGCTGCACAAGTGCCAGTCCTGTATGTGAGAGTCACCGACTCCCAGGGCCACTCCTGTGAGGTGGCTTCTCTTGCTCACCCTGTAACACAGCTGAAGGCCAGGACAGGCTAACCCATGTGCTCACATCCCACTGCTAGTGAGTAACAGAGCCCAGGCTAGTCACTACTCTATAGGGAATCCAAGGACCCTTAAATCTCAAAGTCCCAGGGCCTTCATGTCAGAGCTCTCCTGTATTAATTTATTAGCTGCTTGGGACTGGGTGTGGTGGTTCAAAACACTAATCCCAGCACTTGTGGCTGAGGCGGGAGGATCTCAAGTTCAAGACCAGCTGGGCTCCATGATTGACCCTGTCTCAAAAAAACAAAAGACTCTTAAACATCTCCTGAGCAGAATCACTGTGGAGCTGTGGCCCCACCTTCTCCCTAGAGCAAGACTCCCCATTGAGGCACCGCTAACAATGGTTGTCCACACTGAGAGATAGGAAGCTCACTATCACTACCATCATTGGCCTTGGTGGGGGGAGGAGCTGTCTCTGGGCTCTGATGGAGGTGACAGGCCTGCCTGCATGTCCCTTTTTGCAGTCTGTGTTCACCTTGGGAGCTGCAGCCGGGGGCCTGAGCGCCATGGTTCTCAGTGACCTCCTGGGCCGGAAGCTAAGCATTATGTCTTCAGCTGTACCTTCAGCTGCTGGCTACGCACTCATGGCCGGTGCCCATGGCCTCTGGATGCTGCTGCTGGGGAGGATGCTGACAGGCTTTGCTGGCGGGCTCACGGCTGCCTGCATCCCGGTAAGACCAGGATGTCCCCCACTGCCCCTGTGTTGTGCTGGGCCACCACTACTCCAGGCGTCTGCTCAGTGAAAACAACTGCTGTCCCCTGGGGCTGCTCCAGGGAACCTCAGCTCACTCTCACCAAAGGCAGCTGATCTCAAAGAAATTGTCCCCATGTCACCACTGTCCCCACCCTGGACTCTCCGAACTTCTACCCTCTCCCAACTTCTACCCTGTTTCTTGACCACAATCAGAGGCATTGCACAACCTCAGAAAATCTACATTGAGCAATGGATAGGAAAGGGAAGTCCCTGCCCATACCTTCCCTGGGACGGTAGTATTTTACACAGTGCTCTACACATACCCAATCACTGGCCTGGCAAGCAGGAAGGAGACAAAGGTCACTGGTTGGAACAAAGGCACCTGCTCAGTGCCCAAGTCTGGGCGCCCTGTGCCTCCTTAATTCCTAGCCTCACAGTCCCTATTTCAGAACTAAGTGCCCTACCTACTTTACAGTTAGGCAAACTGAGGCCAGAGGGCAGACAATGAGTCGTGATCAGGACAAAACCACAACAGAAACCCATTCCCCACTTCCCAAAGCTAACAGGGGCCCCCTCTCTCAGCCCAGCATGGCCCAGGAACCTGCAATTCTCACCAAAGCCTTGGTGGGGGGCGGCGGATGTGTCTTTCAGGTGTATGTGTCTGAGATCGCGCCCCCTGGCGTTCGAGGGGCTCTGGGGGCCACACCACAGCTCATGGCAGTGTTTGGATCCCTGTCCCTCTATGCCCTTGGCAAGTATCACCCTGCACTGATGTTGTAGGTTCAGACTTCGAGGCAGAAAACCTGGCTTCCCTGCTTCCCTGCACCATCACTTGGCTGTGTCCTTCCAGGCAGTTTCCTGCCCTCTCTGCTCACGCCCAATTCCTGTATGGTCATCCTCATGCAGCTGCCTGAGGATGGGGGACCCAGGCTTTGCCTGTCCAACTCCTCCCCCATAATGGATCCTCCCAGGACCTCCTACTGTGTACCGGGAGCCAGCCAACCCCGTCAGCAGCCAGGGGTGGCTCCCTGTAGGAAGGGCCCCCAGACTGGCCTTGAAGGGCAGACAAGGCTGCTGGGACCCCAGCCCTCACTCTCCTCTCCCCCAGGCCTCCTGCTGCCCTGGCGCTGGCTGGCCGTGGCCGGGGAGGGGCCTGTGCTGGTCATGGTCCTGCTACTCAGCTTCATGCCCAACTCACCACGCTTCCTGCTTTCGAGGGGCAGGGACGAGGAGGCGCTGCAGGCGCTGACCTGGCTACGCATGGCCGACTCTGATGTCCACTGGGAATTCGAGCAGATCCAGGACAACGTCCGGAGACAGGTGCGGGTGGGTGTGGGCTGGTTGACCCACCCCAACAGCCATGGCTTTGTGTGGCCTTGGCCAGTCATCAGGCCTCTCTAGGTCTTGGTTACTTTTTCTAGAATGAGAGTAGTTGCTGCTAGTCCCAGATCTGGGGGTCATCTTCAGCAGGGACTCTACTAGGAGTGGGGTGTCTCCCCCAGTCCCGTGGGGTCTAGGGCAGGGTCCACTGTCGGAGAGGCCAGCACAGCCCCTCAGCGGCGGCCTTGTGTTTCAGAGCAGCCAAGTGTCGTGGGCGGAGGCCCGGGACCCTCACATGTACCGGCCTGTCCTCATCGCCCTGCTGATGCGCTTCCTGCAGCAGTTGACAGGCATCACGCCCATCCTCGTCTACCTGCAGCCCATCTTTGACAGCACGGCCGTGCTGCTGGTGAGAGCCTCACCTGGGGTCTCCCTGGAGTCCCATGTGGGCTGATCCCAGACCCCCAAGCACCTGCTGTGGCCAGAGGTGAGGCCTACAAGATAGGTTGAGCGCGGAGGCTGCCAGGATCCTTATCTGCTTCTAAGCCACAAGCCTGTTCTTAGAAGTATGATAAGTAAAGCATTAAGATAATTATACAGGATGACAAAAGAAAGCAATTTAATAGAAATGTGGGCCCCTTGGGACCATGGCCTCAGCTTCAGAGAGCCTGGGTGGCACTTCAGTAAGGACCTCACTTTCCCCTGGGAGCCCAGCTCTGTCCCTCCAAGAGGGAGGCAGTTGTAGAGCTGCCCAGGCACGTCCTGTCCCCAGGCTCACAGACCCACACAGCACTGTCACACCAGGTTTTGGGCCAGCTGGGCTCAGCCAGGCCTGAGCTCCCTGCAGTGCCTTGAGGTGCGGGATGGGGCAGGACAGGAGTGGCAGGCCAGCTCTCTCAGTCCCGGTGCCCCTCTCCCACAGCCCCCCAAGGATGACGCAGCCATCGTGGGAGCCGTCAGGCTCCTGTCTGTGTTGATCGCTGCCCTCACCATGGACCTGGCTGGCCGCAAGGTTCTGCTCTTCGTGTCGGGTGAGCATCCCTGGCACTGACTTGCACCCTTCACTCCACTGGCTACTGTGTGTGCCTGGGCTGAGGTACAGCGAGAGACCCCTTGGATTCCCCAGCAGCCAGCAGGGCCCTGTGTGGCCAGCTGCTCCAGCAAGGCTGGCTGCTGCATGTGTGAGTGAAAGAATGGGCCAGGACATGCCTCAGAGCTCAAGCCCAGGCTGGAGGCCCAGGCTGCTGCCCTGTGGGGAGGTCTCCCATCACAGGCCAGCCACGCTGCCAGGCTCAGGGTGTGTGGAGCTTAGGATGAAGACTTCCAGGGGCTTCAGATCAGAAAGCCCTGGCCTCAAGGGCCACCTGTGTCCACAGCCTCCATCATGTTTGCTGCTAACCTGACGCTGGGGCTGTACGTCCAGTTTGGTCCACGGCCTCTGACCCCTAACACCACCATGGCCCTTGAGAACATGTCCTTGGAGGGCACAGAGCAGCCCCCGACCACACCCACCAGCTACCTCACCCTAGTGCCTCTACTGGCTACCATGTTCTTCATCATGGGTAGGTGGCAGGGACACCCTGGCTAAGGGTGGGCTTGAGAGTGGCTATCTCGTGGGGGTGGAGGCCATATAGCTGTCCTGCTTTGTCTGTTTTGTAAATGGGGGAGGGGCGGCTGGAGAGATGGGCTGTCCCATGGCACCCGAGCCCACCTCTTCCCTCTCGGAGCAGGCTATGCCATGGGCTGGGGGCCCATCACCTGGCTTCTCATGTCTGAGATCCTGCCCCTGCGTGCCCGTGGCGTGGCCTCAGGGCTTTGCGTGCTGGTCAGCTGGCTCACTGCCTTTGCCCTCACCAAGTCCTTCCTGCTGGTGGTGGTGAGTGCTCAGCCCCCGGTCTCCGGAGACCCCCAAGGCCTGCTGCAGTTAGCCAGGGGCCCTCTCCATTGAGTCATCTAACCTCACAGTGACCTGGGGAAACTGACGCGTGCCTAAGGATGTGTTCAATACAGCGAAGGCCGCTCGTTAATAGAAACGAGTTGGGGAACTGCTCTAGTAGGTAGGGTTACCCCTCAGGCCAGAGCTCCGCCAGAAACCTAGAGAGCCATACCCAGCTGTGCTGTCTGCCCTCCCAGGCACTGGGCCTCTCCAGCGTGCAAGTCCCACACCCACCCATCTTCTCCTCTGGTTCAAACAACAGGCTCCCAAAACACCTGAATCAGGCCCCAGCTCACAACTCCCACCTGTGGCCAGTACCTCACCTGTCCACTCAGTGGTCGGGAGTATTGGTAGGACAGACATGTTTGCTGCCTGTCAGGCTATGCAGGAAGCTTGGGGCTGAAATGGTGGGACAGGTGGGATTCAAGATGGCCACTGGGTTGGGGAAGGGCACTGGTGCCAAGCAGAGCCTCCAGGTAGGCTGGACTGCCTAGAGCTAGTCCCAAGAATGGCTGAGGGGTAGGAGATGCACTGGGGAGCTGTGGGAGATCTTGCAGTAGAGCAATAACCAGTCTAAGGCTCCCACAAACTGGCTGGTATTAGCTGGGAAAAAGAAGCTCATCTTAGGGAGAGGTCCTGAGTTTCTCGTATGTAACCTGGCACCCCACTCCACACCCCTAGAACGCCTTCGGCCTCCAGGTGCCTTTCTTCTTCTTTGCCGCCATCTGCCTTGTGAGCCTGGTGTTCACAGGCTGCTGTGTGCCTGAAACCAAGGGCCGCTCACTGGAGCAGATCGAGTCCTTCTTCCACACCGGGAGGAGGTCCTTCCTGCGCTAAGTCAGGGACCCACCTGGAAGGAGACAAACTACGGGGCAGCCGGGCCTCTGCATTGGCCACAAACCCACATCTATGACCAGGAGCAGCAGCAGTTCCTACTGTCAGCTGGAGCACAGGACCATCTTGAACACTTCTGGCTCTAGACAGGCAGCACACTGTCTGACCACAGCCCCGGCTCAGGCAGCCCGCAGCACTGCATACACCATAGCTGAGACCTTCCAGAGGTGGCCCTGGAGGGGCACAGGCCGGCGTCCGGGAACACAGCTCAGCCTAGTGACCTCAGGCCTGGCTCCCCACTTGTGTGAAGAACACTCCCTATGGAGGGCTGTGAAACGGGTGGGAAAGTGGCTATACACAGGGACACTGTCACTTCAGCCTGTTGTGATCACTAGGCCTCCATCAAGCATCTTGCCTGTGGAGACGAAGGCAGGGCTGTGAACGACTTGGGAAACACTACGGACTTCCAAAGGCCACGGCACAGGACGCAGTGTGGCTACTTCCTCCCATCCCAGCCTAACCTTGGGACAGGGCTCCCATCTGCAAACCATGTTCCCCTATTTATAAAAATAAAGAAATTGGGTCTGCAGACCTAGGAAGGACAGAGTGGAATCTACTCTAGAGAAGCCTTCTACCCCAGAGTCAGGCCCTGTGGCCACTTCAGACTTACCCACAGTGAAGCACTGAGAGGCAACCATTGTGGGGTTGTCTGCTGTCTGTGGGGTTAGTCCTCCATGGCCCAGCTTTCTTGCTGCATGAGCTTAGGCAAGTCATTATCTTTGACTGCAACCAGTGAGCAGACTCAGGCTGAGATCCTTCCTGGGCTAGTGGCCTCTGCTCAGCTGGAATTGGCTGGAGCATTCTTGCCACTCTTATGGGTGCCATAGACAAGATAATGGCAGAGAGGGAGCATACAAACTATAGCCTTGTTTTACTGGCCAAAATGCAAGCTAAACATTGAAGAGCAAACAAGGATCAGGCAAAGGGAGCTACAGAAGAGAGTCCAGCATAGAGGGAGGAATGGGACCTAGGGCCAGGCCAGTCTAGATAGGACAGTGCCCACACTAGGCTCCAGAGTTGCTCAGCCACAGACCTGCTGGGAATTTCAGGGCAAAGGACTATCTCATTCTGTGTCCATGGGCCCTTCCACCTTTGCTTCCCACCCCATGGCCTGCCCAGAACCCACTGGGTTTTCCCTCAGGGTGGGGTACCACCTTCCTGGACTCACACAGCCTCCCTCACTTCCTGTGCTTATAGCCAGTGAAGTCCCTTCTGGCAGGAGTCAGAGCCTGGGCAAAAGTGAACTGAGTCCTGTATCTGGAGAAGTGAGCAGAGAGGGGCAGGCAGGGCCCTTGCTCCTCCTGGGAAGTAGACAGGTCTTACTCACTGCACACACAAGAACACACAAACACACACATATACACAGCCCTTTGAATTCAATACTGGCCCCAGGAGGGTGTCTCCAGAGAAATCCTGTCCTGCTACGCCAGCTTCAGTGTGACATGCTTGCCACCCTGGGAGGTTGCTGCTGACCCGAGTCCACTGTATCTCCAGGGCAGTGCTGGGCAGAGTCCAAAGAACCCCCATTCCCAACCATAGTACCTGCTGTTTCTGGCCCCAAACACTGACAAGCCTGAGAACAGAGCTGGGTACAGCCCCAGACTGGTTTCCAAAAAGCAAGTCCTGGTCCCTATGCTCTGGGAGCTTAGACGGGCCCAGTGGGCATCTGGGGAAGGAGGCAGGCAGGGAGCTAAACATTTTCCACATCAGCCCACACCACCAAGCCCCGCTGGGCTCAGCCAAGCCCCATCAGACACATGCTTAACCACCAAGGACCAATCTGATGATCAGCAGTTGTGGCTGAGCTCACAGGGCAGGAGGAAGGATGGCAGATACGACAGAGCACAGAGTCCAGAAGGGCTGCTGCCCAGACACCAGCTCTCCATGCCGTTGCTGTGCAGGCTTGCTCCTGATGGCCTGGCACCTGGGACAGGGAGACAGCCCTGTGGGGGAGGTGGCTCTGGCATCTGCCCAGCTCTCGGGGGCTCCCAGGGGCAGGCTAATAGCAGTACCTGAGGTGTGTCAAGCCCAGCCCCTACTACTGTTAGGGGAGCTAGCTGCTGCTGACACAGGGAGGACTGTGCTACAGGGATGGACAGCACCCTCATGAGTGCTGTCCGTACCTCCTTAGCACCAAGTCCTGAGGCAGGGGCGGACAGAACTGCGGGCCTGAGCAAGGCCTGTGGGAGATGGAGTAGCAGGGTGTCCTGGAGAGGCTTGTCTAAGGTAGTAGAGAACTGGAGGAGGGAGCACTTCCAACTAGCTATTGGCCACTGCCAAGCCTGCTTTGACCAGGGCAGTGCTTCCTGGGAGCACTGTGTGATCCCAGAACACTGGCCATGTCTCCAAGCGGCAGCAGCTGGCCACAGGACACTGCTCTGCCCTGAAGACAAGGGACAAGTGGATTCCACCTGCAGGGAAATCTGGGGCATGATCCCTCTGCACAATGCTCAGGCCTAAACAGCCATGGGTGAGGGTGACAAGAGCCCAGGCGATGTGCCTCCCCCTCAAGCCAGGTCCAGTGTGTCCAAGGAAAGATGCTCCAGGGCCTGAGGTGGACTGCCAGTGGCGTGGAGTCTGCAGATCCCCCAGTGTCCTATTTCCAGGCCTGGCTGGCAGGAGTGGGCTGGGTGGTCAGCCATACAGTGCTGCCTCAAGTGTAGCTCTGTTATGCCGAAGTCCTGCCGCCTAGGCCCTCAGCACCAGCAGGGGTATGGATTCAGGCTCAGCTGGTCTGGAGGACAGGTGAAGCAGAGAAGGACTTCAGGTGCAGAGACACATGTGGGGCTCCTATCCCAGGCCTCGTCTTACAGAGCCAGATGGTGGCAGAGAGGAAGGGGTCACCCGACCTGCTTCACAGCTCCCCCTCCAGGGTCTCCGCCAGCTTCTCCTCATCTGCCTGCTGCCTCTGCTGCTGGATCCGGGCATAGGAGATGGCATCACCCCTAGGGAAAAAAAAAAAGTGAATGGGTGTCCCATGGGTGTGGCTCAAACACAACTCTCCCAGCCACTGCCCAGCTCCAGGCTTGCAACCTGGGTGCAATCTAGAGGCAGAACTTCCTGGACCTTCTGGTTCCCCCTAGAGGCCACTGTCAGAGGCAAAGACCTCATCTGAGAGTGGTATGGGCCATCTGGACACTAGGTGAGGGTCTGTTTCCAGTCTGGACTCTGCAGGAGAGGGTGACTGGGATACCTAGTGCATGTCCCATGGAAAGAGGCCAAGCCAGGCAAGATGGGTCACCCCACCTCCATTCCCAAGAGAACGGTTGAGTTACTGGCCACCACTGTGCCCTACAATTGGACAAAGGAGCCCCACTTGGGCCTTCCCCGCTGAGAGGAAAATGGCAGGAGGGGAGGCCCCACCCCAGGGCTGGAGGTGCAGACGCACTTTTTGCCCAGGGCAGAGAGTCCATACAGCACCCCCGTGGCAAAGGCGATGGCATTGCCCAGCAACGTGGTCAGCGTCAGGCTCATGATGATAGGGACGATGGCCATCCTAGATGAGAAACAGAGGTCAGGGGGCACTCCCACCCATGCCGATTATACTTGAGGTTTCCCACACTCACTCCAGCCCTCCTCAGACAACTTGGGAGCAGGAAGCATTCCTAGAAACCAACTAGGACACAGGTTCAGGGCAAGGCACCACAAAGTCCTGAATACCTCTGAACTTTTCTGCAAATTCCTTTGCCTTTTCTGGGGAGGGGATCAAAAGCTTTCATCAGCTTTTTTATAGGGTCTGGGGTCCACGAAGGGCTACACAGTAATGTGCTGGTCCAACACCTTCACTGTTCATAAAAACAGGCTGGGCCAGCTCAGTGCCTTGAGCCCCATGACCAAGTCACTTAGCTTCTCTAAGATTCAGTCTCAGAGATTCTGATGCTGACTACGATAAGGCATGCTACCTACTTAACACAAGGCCTGTAAAATCACAAGCACTAAAAAAATGCTCTTATTACACAGTAAAGCCAACCACATCTTAGCAAGTAGGGCCCCAAGTCAAACCCCATAGACTTAGGGCTCAGCGGGTGCACAGCTCAGGGGCTGCAGCAGTTGGGGTCTGCCAGTTCCCACCACAGCCATGTGCCACACGGTTGTGGAGTCCATTGGCTAAAAAGCCTCTGCAGCTGAGTCTTGACTCTGGGAGGCATTTCCAACAACGAGCAATTCCTTGGCTGACTGATCCAGGAAAATACTGGTAGCCTGCAGATCAACCCTCTGCCCTGTCTCTTCCAGAGAGGAGGCTCCTCATGCAGGAGGCCAGCACCCACTGCCAACTGCATTCCACTGGATTCTCATTCTACACCTTACGCCAGCTAAGACATTTCAAAGTGCAGACAGTCATTGGCTTACAAGAGCTGGACTTGAGATTTGTTTTTTGATTTTATAATGGTGCAAAAGCAATATGCATGCAGTAGAAACTGTACAAATTTTGAATTTTGATCTTTTCCTGAGCTAGCATGATGTGGTACAATACCATGTCACCATACCCGACATATGGGCCCAAGCACAATTAGAGTCAGCTCAGCTAAACTGTGCTGTTTGATAGATGAGGTGTCTCAAGTGGTTTTCAACATGACACTTTCAACCTACGATGGGTGTATCAGAATGTAACCCCATTATAAGCTGAAGAGCGTTGTGATAAAAGAATAATAGAAGTCACAAGGAAAAAGACCACAGGGAAGATTTTTAATCCCTGGAAAAAAATTAAAAGCAAACAACAGGCTGGAAAAATATGTACAGGAAATGCAACAAAGGAGTGTGAAATCTTTAATATAAAAAACACATATGACCTGCTAAGTAAAACACTAAGATTCTAATAGGTTGAAAGTAAACCAGAAAATTTTCAAATAAGAAAATACAATTAGAGTATATGGGAAAATATTTTACCTCTTAGGTAACACACACAAACATGAAAATGGTAGGCGGTACTGGGCAGAGAGGGAGGGGAGATGCTAGGATGCCTCTGGAAAGCAATTGAGTCAACATATATTGAAATATTTTAATGACCACAATCTGACCTGGTAATTCCACACCTGGAAATGTCTCCTAAGGAAATCATCATACATGCACAAGTTTTAGAGATAGATGTTTAGCACAGCTCCACTTACAACACAGAAATTTTTTTGAATTTCTGAACAAATTCAGAAAAAGATATGTCTAGCTGAATAAACATTTCTATCATAAAAGGTAATGTCAGGAAGCCTTTCAGATAATACCGAAAATGTTTACATTATTATATTAAGTGGGGAAAAAAGCAGGTACAAACTTATTTATAATGGTTATAACTATGTTAAAAGAAAACTTTAAAAATGTCTGGATTCAAACCGGAAGCACACATGCCAAAAGGTTAACAAGCAGTGAGGCTTTGAGGAACACTTTTCTATTTTACAAATTATTTTAATGAATATATATATATTCATTAAAATGCTATTGGCATTTTGGCAATACATTTAAAGGGCATGATGACACATGCTGACATGTTGATTGGTACTGTGACCCTGTGACCCCTCGAGATTTCAATACAACAGGAAATGCAGCAGAGCCACACACACACCACACACTCTCACTATCCACACTACTAGGCCTCCGCCAAGCCTGGGTCTGCCTTCATCGAAAGGTAACCAGGGCAACAATAGTACACACTGCTGTTCTGCCAGCCTCTGTGCAAAGGCACTGCTCCAGGTGCTTCCATATATTCATCTATCCCGACAGTAGAGCAGTCTTAGGACTCCAATGTGAGGAACTACTGAACTTGTTGTCAGTAACAGGAAATGGAAAGAAAGCATAATTTAGAGGGCAGTGATATTTTCTGTTCCACAACCTACACCTGCCCTTCATGTCAGGCCGTCTACTTGACCCCACTCCTCTCAAAGGCTGCAGAGCAGTGGACCTTGTGGACCTACTACAGTCCACCTAGTAATTCCCAACTGATAAGCAAAACTCCAGATGCTTCCCCTAGTCCTCCTATGTACATAATGCTGCAACGACTTCTGGTACTGGGGTTTGAACTCAACACCTGCTTTGTTAGGCAGGTGCTCTACCCCTTGAGCTATGTCCCCAGTCCTTTTTTGCTTTAGTTTACTTTCCAGATAGGGTCTCATACTTTTGCCCAAGGCCAACCTCAGACTGCCATCCTCCTATCTGTGCCTCCTGCATAGCTAGGATTACAAGCATGCATACCATCATTCCTGGCTGCAGTAAGGACTTTTATCTTTGAACTCTTATGTGTCTAGAGCTGCAGGCTAAACTCCCAGATGTGGAACTGCTGGGTCACATTCATTTTGGGGTTTTTTTTGGGGGGGAAGCGGGGTCACATTCTTTTGCTACCATCATCCAATTGTTCTGACTGCCTCTCCTACCCCATCCTCCCTCACCACACTGCCCTTTGGGGTTTTTGCCCGCAGCGTGTTGGGGAACCATGTCAGGGGCCCTGCCTAGCAGCCCCTCACCCGCAGTAGAAGACAGCCTTATGCCAGGAACGCAGCCGGTCCACCTTCTCGGCCACCATATTTGCAAACTCCACGAACTGGCAGCAGAAAGGTGCTTCACACAGCAACAGGATGAAGGCATTCATGCTGCAGGAAGAAGGGTAGAGAGAGGAGTGGCAAGTGACAATGCTGGGGCTAGGGCAGCTCCAGTGTAGTGCCATGAAGAATGTCATCTTCTCATCCCACAGGAAGGACCCAGGAACCCTGCTTCCCACCCACACCCCCACCCTGTCTCTGCTGAGCCCTTCAATTAAGCAGATGCACCCACACCCACAAACCTGCCTGAACTGAGCATCCTGGAGGGATCCCAGGCATCCGGTCCCTTTACCCTCTCATCTGTGAAACGCAGGTAAGACCCCCTCACCCCGGTGTTACCTTGAGCTGGCAGCAAGTTCACACACAGAGCACTTGGAGATCCTGTTGGCCGTTACTTCTATCACCTCAGTCACCAACATTGCCATCATGGAAAGTCCGCCCCCAGCAAGACAATGAAGTGCTGGAGTAGGTTGGTCCACCCAGTCACTGAGGGCTGACTAATGCTCAATGCCATGGGGCCCTGGCTTGGGAACCTTGGGCTAGACAGCTGCAGGGCCATGAGAAGCCCATGCTGGTGAGGAAGGTGCTCAGAAGCCCTTCTGGCCTGGCCTGTCTACAGAAGCAGCTAAGCCACAGTGCTAAGGGTATTTACTATGATAGGTGGGCATTGACCAGGCAGTTACCCATCCTTACAGCTGAGCCCCAAGGGGAAAGTGCCATCAGTACTCCATTTAACAGAGATGCAGATTCAGGACACAAACCCCAGGACAGGATTAATCTCTTGTTCATTGTCCAGCCTCCAAGCCAGCCTTCTCTGTACCTCACTGTGCTCAGCCAGCCCTTTCACAGCCTTGCCATCCTCTGACTCCAAGCCTCAGAGCCAGGCCTGTGCCTCTCCTCCATCAAGGCTCCATCCGTTGCCTCAGGCCAGCACAGGCCTCTGTGCCTACCACAGCAAAGCCTGAGTCTCACTCTGGCCTGAGACCCAAGGGTAAGACATGAGCCCCACTGTGTGCTCATAGGCATTAATGAATGCTTGGTAAACAGCACTTCCCATGTGTCTTGAGTGGGCCACACTTGGCCAGAGCTGCACTACCAGTCCCTGTTTCCCTTCCCATAGGATCTAGCTACTCTGACAGTGAGTTGCAAGGAACTCCCCTGAGGCTACTCTAACCACCAGCTCCTGCACCACTCAGATCTGCCCCTTCCAGCCTCATCTATCTCTGGGACTGCTAACCCACCTCGCAGCTAACCACTCTCTCCCAACTTGGAACCTTCAACTCTGTCACCAGCACGCACAGGGCCAACCTTCCACACTATAGCTCTGGAGCTCCAGGAAAGGTAAGAGTCCATCACAGTGGACAAGGAGTCCATAGTCTACGGTAGATGCTCAGGGACAGTTTGTGGCCTTGACTCTGCACCCAGTAAAAACCTGGTGGGTGTCCCCTGGTCCTGACCCCCCTGATTAGAAAACCTAAATGTGCAGGGAATGAGAAGCAGGACACCTGCACCATGGCCAGCAATCCACAGGCCCCAAACAACCCCACCAGGGCAGGACAGCCACAGGATACTCACATCATCCACACACCGGCTGCGATGTTCAGAGGGTGGATTGTGATGCAGTTGAAGAGGCCAGAAATGGCACAAGCTTGAAAGCAAGAGACATGGGCAGGAGTTAGTGGGAAGGACAGGGCAGAGCCTGATGGGAATGCTGCCTGGCGAGATGGCTTAAGAAATGACAAGAATCTGTCCAGAGGCTCAACACTCAAGTCTTCTCATAGCAGCTCCGAGTGCCCCACCCCCAGCCCTATCATCTGAAACAGGTGAGAATCAGACTCAGAGATGTGAAGAGGCTTGCCCCCAACCACAGCAAGGGCAGCAAGACTGTCTCTGGACCTCAGAGCTGGGCACTTGGGGAACTACAGGGCATTTCCCTTCCACATCCCAGGTCTTGGGCCTGCTGGCCCTTGGACCCCAGCTGTATCAACACCCACCTCAAAGGGTGGTTAGGATTGGTTTTCAAGGGATCAGGCCAGCACTCTGCCTAGACCTGTCACCCTTCATAGAGCTGGTCACACATGTCCTCTAACTTGGAAAATGTGTCCTGAATTTTTTTTTTTTTTTTGAGACACGTCTCACTATGTAGTCCAGGCTGGCCTTGAACTCGTGATCCTCCTGCCTCAGCCTCCTGAGCACTGGGATTACAGGTGTGCACCACCATGCCTGGCTGTGGCTTGGATTTTAATGGGGACAAGGGGTGCCTCTCGTGGAACAGAGATGGGGACCAGGTGAGAGCCAAGTGACAGTTCTACCACTTACACACTGAGTGACCTTGGGCAGTTCACCTTTTGCGAAGCCCATTTTCTCTCCTACGCACGGCCACATCTCATAGCCCACTCATCCAATGTTAGGCCAGCAAGGTGCTATGAGGGGACTGTGCACCCTCCTCAACCCCAGAACGTGGCTTCTCAGATGTCCCAAATGTGAGCCTGATGGTCCCTCCCCCTACCACATCAGGAGTGGACCCTGCCACAGCCACCCGCTCTTCCACCCGCTGCCTGCAGTGAGCTTCCCCAGGAACTCTACCAGGAACTCTGAAGCCTTCCTGGACATTCCATTCCAGGGAGCTGGCCTGCCCAGGCTATCAACAGGACAAGGTAGAGGCCTGGCCTTCTGAGGCAGCAATTAGCAACCAGCTCATTAAACATGCAGCAGCTCTTGTGCACCTGATCCCTCCCCACTGGCTTGGAATTCCACCGTTTTTCATTTTCCCATGTAACCCTATGCAGATGGCAAGTGAAGTAGGAGGAAACCCGATGAAGGGACCCACTCTGAGTGGAACTGCACTCCTGTGCCACAAGGTCTCTTCTACAATGAAGGACTCAGGGGTGGCATTCATCCTCGAAGTCCTTGAGAACAGATGGCGAGGCAGCAAGGCTCCCGGGCCACAGACACAGGGGACTGTCTGTCCAGAACAGCCCGAAAGACAGACTGCCTTCTGCCTGTGTGTAGCTGGGCATTATCTCACCTGAGGGGCCTGCACTTCCTGCTGACGTCAGCATGTCAGCATTCTGCAGGCAATTCCAACCCCACCCCCACGGTCCTACACAGTTAGCCTTAGGGAGGACTAGGTGGCAATCCAGACAAGCAGACTCCAGTCAGGAGTCCTTTGACGATGAAGGGTTCAGGGATGTTCACTTGGGATTCTGATACTTGTGTCTTCCACATGATGGAGATGTCATCATTGCTGTGCAATCCTCTCTCTTCTCTACCTATTGCTTCCAGATGCCTTGGGACCAAAAGCAAATGTCTCTCCAGCTCCTAAAGACCCTCCACCCCAGGGGAGGGCAACCCTATCCAAAATAATCAGCCAGGTTCACAGCCCTTGTCCAAACCCCTGTTATATCTATAAAACACCTACACTTTTGCATTCCACCCTGAGGTATATCATTTGGGACTCACATAATAATGGTCCCCAAATCTGCAGTGGGAGAGAACTCAGAGCAGCGTGCCACAGGTCTCTCTTGAGTTTTCACCTGTGGCCTAGTTAGGCATGGGGCCTTCTGGAGTGGCACAGACATCACTTCTCAATTTTGATAAGCACAGAACTGGATGGGACTCCAGGGTCAATCTGGGAGTCAGCTGGAGTGCTGACCAAGATGGAGGGAGGGTGGCAGTCTACAAACTATAGTTCTTCTCTCCACCCTGGCCACTGTCAGCTGTGCACCTAGAAAGACGGGCTCCTCCTGGCAGGGGAGCACATGGGTCTGCCCTACCCAGGCCCAGGTCCTGCCCCCTGTGCCAGGCAGGCACTGGAATTCATTGAGGTCAGGCAGGGATTGGTGAGGGCAGGCAGGAAGGGAAAGTGCACCACTCATTCTCTCTGCCTTTGGAAAGCCAGCAACAAGATCTTCACTTCTGCAGAGGATCTGCCTTTCTCTGTGCTCTGCTAAGAGAGCCAGCTTCCCTGGGAACCTGAGGTCAGGCAAGACGTGAGCCTGGGGCTGGTATGGAGGACAGGAGAGCCAATGAGTGGCACTAGGACAGCAGCAAGCAAGAGCATGGACGGTGGAGAGAAAGTACTGGAGCCGGCAATGCGGATCAAAGAGAGGCCAGCTCCCAACTCACTACCCAGCCGCTTCCAGGGGCCACCTGGCCCCTGGCACCACAAAGCCCTTAGCAAACTTTCGCAGCCAGTGGCTTCCTGTCACGAGTCTGGTCAGACCTGCTCCACCTATCAACAAGCTTTGTCCAAAGATTGAGGGCACGGCTGCCGCACCTTTGCCCAGGTGAGCATCACCAGGCCAAGGCAGGAACCAGAAAGGGTCGCCACGCCCTCTACGCGTGTCTGCTCCCTCAGGAAATGACCCCCCCACCACCAAAGAAGCCCAGATCGGAGAAGTGCAGGCCAGAGGCCGGAACCATGGCAACGCGAGGGCACCGCCTCCCCGCTGCCACACTGGCCTGGGGGGTGGCGCCCCGCAGACCCCGACACGCACAGGCCCCTCCCCTGACGGGGTACTCACAGACGGCCCCCAGCACGCCCGACAGGCGACACAGCCAGCGGTACCACCACGTCATGCCCTCCTCCTGCGCGGGCGGCGCGTGGCCGGCGGACACCCCCGCCCCGCCCGAGCCGCTCATGCTGCCCAGGCGCCTCGGTGGAGCCCAGAGTACGCACAAAGGGACGTGCCCGCCCGGCGCGCTGCCTTGTGGGAGAGGAGACGATTATCATAGGGGGCGGGGCCCGTAGGGGAAGTCGCCGGGGGCTGGGGAAATGGTGGTGAATATTAGCATAAGGGGCGGGACTCGCAGGCGAGGTAGCCCGGGGGCTGGGCTTCATTAGCATAAGGGGCGGGACTCGCAGGCGAGGTAGCCCGGGGGCTGGGCTTCATTAGATAAGGGGCGGGGCCTGGCGCTGGGACACCAGACCATCAAATCTTCCAGCCCTGACCAGCGTGGGGCTGCGGCTTCGCGGAGAGTTGGCAAGCGCATGCCCAATCCTGACTCCATGATCTCCTCTCCTCTCCTTCCCCCTTGGTGGGACCAAAGAACATTAGAGATGGAGAGGGGTTTTCTCAGGCCAGGGTAAACCGACCGTGACCAGGGAATCTCGGTCTTGCGGTAGGTCTTCAGACCAGGTTTGGACAGGTTATGTGAGGAAAGTAACGGTCAGGCCTCCACTTTCTTTTATTGGTACCCGAGGGGCTGGGGGGGGGGCTGCCTTTCCCTCCCACCCCCTATCCGTTTGTACATTGGAGAAGACTCTAAAGGAAAAATCCCCAGGAACTGTAGAAGTTAGAAGCTCTCAGAGACTGGAGTTCAGCCCTCCATTACTGGCCAGACACCTAACAGGTGTTCAGTAAGTGTTGGGTTCCTTCCGTTGTCTTCCAGCGCTTAGAGAGAAAGCTAGCGCAGGGCCTGGCCACCGTCCCGCTTTGTCCTCTTCCATTGCCCTAGAGTGGAGGGTCCAGTACTGGCCCTGTAGGCTAGCATGTGTCTCCAGGAAGCCCTGGCTAAACTCCATTTCTGCCATGCTGCCCTTTGACTCCCAGTAGAGTGCCTGCTGCCCATGAAATGTTGTGGTCCTCAGGCTGTGAATGTCTCGGATCTGGAGGAAGAGAGGCAACCAGAAGGACCTGTCACAAGCAATAATTAGCTAAAATTCATGGAAGCCTGAATATGCAAGGTACCATACATTCAGGATCACGTTAGTCCTCACAAGAATGCTATAGCAAGGACATTTGTTTTACCAAGGAAATTGAGGCTCAGGAGACACACAGCCAGGGACCACTGCTGGGTTCTGGGCCAGGCCCGATTCAGAGGCCAGGCTGCCTCTTCTCAGTGAGCTGATACCTTCAGAACACACATAACCTCAACCCAACCTGTGCTCTTCCACAAAGTGTATCAGGCTATCCATCCTGGGATAACTGGCAATCTACACCAGGAAAGGTCTTTTCTACTTCCTTCTTGTAGGTAGCACAATAAACACTTGTTGGTAGATAAAATGGAGGAAACTCTCCTTCCTATCCTTTCAAGTGATTTTGAGAGTTTTCATCTAAAGTAAGATGAACAAGTCTCCTAAGCCCAGCACCCCTGTCCCCATCCAGAATCACAGCAAAAGTCAGCCTGTTTCTGTAGCTATCCCGGTGGCCTCACCGAGACGTAGCTGGCATTGGTCTCCTCGGCCCCAGTGCCCACGACGCTGACCAGGGCATGGATGGCAATGCGAGCCTGTGGAACCACGTTGATGAAGACCCGGCAGCCCCCTGTATTCTTGCCGTCTCGACTCAGTGAGGGGCTCACGATTTCACCCCGGGGTCCAAAGAGCTGCGTATCACATTCTGTAGGGGAGAGCAGATGGGTGTGGACCACCTCAGGGACACGGAAGCCCAGACAGACTGCTGACAGCAGGGCAGCTCAGAGCTGGGAAGCAGAGAGAAGACAGTGTGGCTCTGTGGACAAGGTCAGAGCTCCCAGGCAGAAGCCCCCACTGAACCCCACCTCCACCACTTCCTGGCTGAGTGACTTTAGGCAAAGCCCTTGAATGCTCCAAGTTTCTGTTCCCTCCTCTGTAAAGTGAAGGGAACAGTGCACACACTGGGCAGGGTACTTTTTAGGAGGACTCAATGAAGTTATGCTACAAAAGTATTTAAAACTCTGAACTTGGCACAAAAATGGGCTCCAGAGCTCACTTAAGCTCCTCCTGCCTGCACCTTCCTTGAGGCAGGTGCCTGTGTGTGATGAGAAGTGAGAGGCAGTGAGAATGGTGACATTTGACTCTTAAGCATTACTCTGACTCCACAGGGCCGGGTGCCTAACCATAAGCACGACTCACTGCTGAGAAGCAGGTGGTAGCCCAGGGTAGGGGAGGCAGTGAATTAAACCTCTACAGAGGCTAAGCTCTTATTGTACCACTTTCATATTTGGCCTAGAGAGATCCAGAAATCTCTGGAACCAGCTGGGAAGGCTAACATCAGCCACCATGGGCTGCTGGAAGAGAACAAGCCTCTGAGGCAACCAGTAGAGCTGTCAGGCTGCCAAGAGGCCTATAGGCAAGGTAGGGGTCCCTGAGATGCCATCCTTTATCTAAGGGGAGTTGATAGTGGGAACTTTGCATGTATGGGTACAAACGTGCCTAACACACATGAGTGGTAGGGAGGAAGACTAGAGAAAAGTAGCTCACAGAACTCACAGAAGAACCTCGAAGGAACTGAGTACTAGGGCCAAGGGCATGGGCAGTGGCCTAAGGGACAGGGCAAGGATGTGAC